GATAATCATTTCTAGAATTTTTTCGAGGAAATAAGTGTTTGAGATTTACTTCGTAATTTTTAATACAGATATTTTGAGTTTTTATGTGTTTTTGCCTTGTCGCGAAGTAAGAACTGATTAGTTGAATGAGAAATACTCAATCGTCTGTTAAAAACTGTTTCTTTTTGTTTTGTTTGCTTAATTTCTTTTATACATAGCTTTATTGTAGTATTTGAATAGAACATGTGGCAACGATTAGATAATTCTTTAAATGATATACATTTTGTGCATTCTGAGTTATAATATGAATGAAATATAATACTATTAAGTGAACCTAGCTCCAGAGAGTCTCTATGGTAAGCAAATACAGTGACTTTTAAAGAATGTATTTATTCTATTGTGGTTTATGCGCTGTCGGCGAAGTAGGTTTAATTCAATCCTATAAGTTTAAACGAAATGCAACAAAAATGCGTATAATTTAATATTCCGTACAAGGAAGTCATGTGGTGTACACATCGGATTTTTTTTTTCATTGTAAAGTCATCGTTCATACTTTCAAATAATTTTAACAAAGTGCGTGAACCACATTTGGCGTTATTATCCCTTAAATTATGCAAAACTCTTATCAAATTAATTATTTAACAGTTTTAAAATAATTAAAAATTAACATGCAGTGCAAGAAAAATTATCTCTCGGAAACGCCCAAAGCAACTATGTTTTAATGTTTCCCGGGAAAAAAAAATATTTATTCTATTTCTGTTTTGATTTAGCATCGCGAAAAGAATATAAAACCAAAATTTCATTTTTGAGTCTATAAATTATTCTTCAAATAATTCCAGTTTAGAGTGCTCCGTGAAACCCTAGTACGGTTTCACAATTAAAAGTCAACTGAACTTAGATAACTAGATATTTTGTATTTTAGAAACAGTAAAACTAATAAAGAAAGTGCTAGAAATATGAATTTCTGCTGATTTTAGTATTACAAAGTGATTTGAAGAAGAAAAACAAGTAGAAAAAGCAAATAGTTGTTCGCTTAGCATTTTTACATTCCGGATATTTACATAAATTTGCTGTTATAAATTGCAAAGTTTTGTGTGGGAATTAATGAAAGAATTTATTCATCGGTTTGTCTTGAAACTATAATTAAAACGAGTACAAAATTTTCTGGAACAATATTTGAATGATTTTGATTAAGCAAGTAACTGAAGGAACAGAAACATAAAAGTGAGAATCTTGTTGTTTTTCAAATAGCGGGTCATTTGAAACCTGACGCATTACAGGGGAATTGGCAATACTCCTTCTTCATTTATCCTAATTACTACCGAGAAAATTTTCCCAGATTGCACCCTAAAGGAGATCGATTTATATGCGTGAGAAAGAGGAAATTCCATCATTCCTAAGTTTTCATGCCTCTGGTGACAGATCAACTCAAAACCTTCTTTCCCTGTTACTAAACTTTTTAAAAGGACTTTCGCGTGCCAGTATTTTAAGTACCCCCTTGCCTCACAGACACTGTACACTTACAAAAATCTAAGCCTTCTCCGGGATTTGTACCAAAATTTAGTGAGACAGTAGCCAGTATTGCTAACCACTATACTAATCAGGGCAGCATAAAAGAAATAACTGAAAACTGTTAAATCCATTTTATAGTATCCGGCCATATATTAGTTCTTCTTAGAATGTTCTGGATATAGTTGCACACTCAGTATTTTATAAATAAATAGTATAATTTTATGTTTTAAGTTATATGTAAAGCATGTATAGTTACCTCCAAGTCCATGATATTAGCCAATACTGACCGGTTTAATAAGTGACCTACACATGTATAAATTAGTATGCGTTCAGTCTTATTGCCACTTTGGGTGATTTTATAGATTATCTAGTCGTATATTTAGTTACACTGCAGTTACGTGAGCTGCATAGTAAGTTGCAAATAAGTTTAGCAGCTATCACTGCTGTCATCGGTTTTATTGCATCAAACATTTTATGCTGAACTGTATCTCTTCCTATAATATCTATAGAAAAATTTGTTTCCGGTCCAACGGAGCCTCTGAAGTTATTTATCTCACAAGACAGAATCGTTGTTACCTGTCCGCATGTCATAACTTCTTCTCAGACAATATGCCTTGCTCTCCATTTTCATACGGTATAGGATAAGCTACAATGTTTTATGAACAAATTCAAGATAGCGTACTTTGTCAGATCGGAATAACGACTGAAAAATGGCGAGTTCCCCGTTTGAGGCGAGGATCGAACAGTGGCCAACTGGTGAAGTCGCTGAACACCAGTAATTTGATCTAAGTTTGCATTCCAGCGAGTGGTTTGGCTTCATCTTCTCTTTCGTGGTTTTCTCTGCATGTAACACGAATAGGAGTCAGTTTCCTTTATACAGTCGTTCAGGAAGGCATCCCTCTCCCTTAAGCAGATATCTCTCGCTTGCGATGCGAAAATCAATAAACCGAAACAAACCGTCTGAGGAAAGTACTGAAAGCCATATGTCTTGTTATGTAACAACATTGGACATTGTTCAGAACATTGTTTGGAAATTTTTTATGACATAGTCTTGTTTCCATGCTTTAACGTCCAATTTTTTGCATTCTGTAAACTGATAAGCGTTATCATAATTTTTATTACTTTTTAATTTTCGCTTTGACAAGAAATCGTTGTCTATCTAGATCATCAAATAGTCACCTTCACCGAAATTCAACTCTTTCACAAAATTTGTCACTTTAATTTTACTACTAATTTTGGTTTGGTTTATTTAATTACGGCAAAGCACACTAGAGCTATATGTCTAAGGGAAAGAATGCCTTCGTGGAGGACTTTCTAAGGGAAACTTGCTCGTATACACGTTACACATGGGGAAAAACAGGAAATTGCCCATGTAGCCAGCCCATTCGCGGGATTCGAACCTCGGACCAAACTACCAGTGTTCAGCGACTTTACCGCTCGGCCGTTGGTGGGCCCTTTTACTACTAATAAATTAATCAGTTGGACCACATTTTCAAGAAAAATTATTAGTAACACGCTTATTAATCGAAGACGCATTAAAATATTTGTACAGATGCACTAGATATTCTAAATGGAATTTTATATTTATTAAAATTCGTACAAATAATCAAGCACTAAGTCAATTTATTAATTTTTGTTTTAAAAAAGTAATGTCAAATACTCAATCTAATCTTTTTACTGGTAGCGTTATGATAGTATTTTTCTGAGTCTTCTACGTGAATTATGCTGGATTTCTATCAGTTTCAGGATTTGTAAATTTTGTAATTATTTTATACGATGTAAAATGCTAGTTTCTTCTGGCTATTTTTGATTTTACTAACAATCTAAGTTTTGTTCGTAGTTCGATACAAGTGAAGATTGTATACTTTTCTTTATACATATTAGGCCATTGGTAAGAAACCAATTAATTTTTATTGTTTGATAAAATTTTAAAGCCAATTTTAACTACAGTAGACAAATTCTGTCGCCAACCTTATGGTACCCCGGATCCCAACTAATTTTCCCGCCATTTTCAAATAGCATCTAACATGTCTGCTGACACAATCTCTTCTCCTAAATATTACAACTTTAGTCGCATTCCATTATAATGAAAGTTGAAAGACTCTGCCATTTTCCTGTCCGATTCAGTTTAGCAAACATATAAGTTGGCTTTAACTCATTTCTGGCCTTTTTAATGTATAATGTTTACGTAGATTTTTAAAGTCAGATATACTTTACGAATTTATTTTAGTAATAAGAATGGTTAAAATTTAATCTTATTTTTTCTTACATTTTTACACTGTTTTACCTCCTTTTATGTTTATGACTTCCGGAATTGTTTTACTATGAAAAGCAGCGAATGTGTCGGGGAATTATAATTTATGCAAGACTATTTAAATATTTACTAAAACAATTAAGCTTTGTTTTTAACTTGTATTTTGAATCCAATTGGCGAACTTATAAATAGTTACTTTAAAATGTACTCTTAAGATATGTTCTTAACTAGTACTCTGAATTCGTTTTGGCTCAATATACACCTGGCTTGTTATTTTACAATTGGTTCTAGCAGATTTATATGACGAAACACATTCGCTTATGTGAATTCTTGTAAATTGATCAGAAATAGGTTTGTCCCCCTTGAAAGGTCAATTAGTTTCCGTTTAATAGCAGTAACTGCTTCATTTTTTCTTAACGCTTTCGTTTTATACCATTTTCGTAAATTTACTTTTAATTACATTTTTTTACTTGCTCTAGACAATACTAATAAGCGTTTTAACCACAGTACATATTTTGTAAATAAAGAAAACTTAACTTAGCTTTTTTTTTATAAATGGTAAGAGACTTATAAAATACAACTTCTTTAATTATCTAAAATTTTATGTCTTTTTACTACACACATTAAGCACATTAAACTACTGTATCCATCTCCAGTTTTTAGCGTTAGGTTCTTAAAATCTTTAAAATTCTTGCATAGTTATTCCTTTCCTCTCTTACACATGTATTTTTACATGCAAAAAGTTGTGAAAGGTTACATGTGCAAGATTGTAAAAGTTTGTAAAAGATAAATTGTGTTTGCATAAATGAAAAGAAGTATTTTACGTCATTTTTAGATTGATGCAAAATTTAAATAAATCTCAGATGAATGTATAGCTATTTACCTGAAACCAACATCAAACAGGGGGAATTTGAGCAGTTTTTGCAATTCAAGTTCGATTGCAAGTTTAATTAAAATGCAATAAATTCTTCATTCAATGACTTTGAATTCTATAATTTGGGGAAACATTATTTATATCTCAGTAGAAGAGCATTCGATTCAAACAGATTCTTTAAACAGAAATTGTATTTATGTCGATAATGTCACGTACCTATAAAACGTTTCATAATTTGCATAAGCATAAAGAAAGTTCTAATCAATAATTTTTAATCTACTAGGACCAGAAAGCATTTTTTTATTTAAGTTCTTAAAAATCAGTTTTCAGAGCTCAAGCTAAGATTCAAAACACGACAAAATAGGAACAGGAAAAATTTACCTTGTGGCGTTGCAATCCCGTATCCTTTTGTGTCAAGAAGGCCCCCTATTTGCGTGAGCTCACAATTTCTCTGAGTTTCATATTCAATAGATGTTGATTCCATGAGGAAAGCATAGTCTCCCTGAAGCACTCTTTGCACGCCTTCTCTGTTTGACTGGGTGAACACAGAAGGTCGGGCCGACTCCATGAAAGACCACATTTTCTGGTACACTGGTATTTGTGAATTCTAAAGTAGAACGGACAAAGAATATTCCCCTTCAGACTTTGTTATTAAAATTCAGAAACTAGCAAGTGGAAATACGGAACAGTTAAATGGTTTATTACATGATAAAGAAGTAAACAGCATATATAATATTTACGTTTTTTTTAAAATTTATGTTTTATCCTTATCAATAAAAACTGAAGTTATACATTTTCCTAGCGAGGGAATGCTATTATACTTCTCGACGTCTCCATAACACGCTTTGCAAAAACATTAGGATTTTTTGGATGCAAGAAAGGAGAAAAGGCTTTTCCGAGAATCGAACCACGGACTTCTGGAATACGCGCCCAGCATGCAGGCCATAACACTACGAAGGCACGCTAAGAAGGCAAGAGAAATACCTTATATACTCCCCCATTTTACAGGGCGACTGGAGATTTAGCGGACCCAATCTCCAAATCCTGGGTGTGGAGAATCATCATCCACCTTTTAGTTCGGGCATCACTGTCGAGACATTAGATTTTTTGAAGCAGGAATTGTGAAAAATGAGCAATGCCTTCTCCGGGAATCGAACCACGGACCCCTGCAATGAGAGCCCAGCGTTCAGACCACCTCACTACGAAGGAATGCCAAAAAAGCGGGAGAAATACCTTATACTGTAGGCACAAATATCTGATGTTAACACTACATGTCCTATTAAATTATGTATATTTTTTGCTGCATTTCACTTAAGCTTATTTCATTAGAAGTATATTTTTTATTCAATAAATTTTCTCACATTGCGGCAACGCGAAATTGCATAAAAACCTCAAATCATCTTGATTAAAACTTGTAAAATACACGTAAAACATAAAAGAGAACGGAAACAGTTAAAAAGAGTTCAATTTTTATAGAATTAAAATCAGAGTTTTTAGGCAAAAACAAGCAATTCGGCCAGCGGGCATGAAGACAGATTTTTCGGTCCGCAAGACTAAAAGGTTCCACTCGGCAAAAAGGCACTGAAGTCGGTGCAAACACTGACTTAATTCGCTATTTTACTACCCAAGTAGCACAGAAACGTCGTAACGACGTTGCAAGCTCGTCACGGATGTCGTTTCAAAAACGTTGCAATATATCGGTTTTAAGACGCCCAGATGTCCGCGAACATCCACTGTTTTGCAACCGTTGCAAAGACGTCTTTATTACGTCTTTGCACATGACGTTTTTGTCGCATAGACGTCGTTATTGCGTCTTTCGCAGGTGATATTTTGGTTATGAAAGCATCGTATGACGGCGTCTCAAAGAGCGTAAATGTTCGCAAAATTCCACCTTTTTGCAACAGTTGGGAAAATGCCATTATTATGTCCTTGTGTTACATATTTCTTTATGCAGAAAAATAAGTTTAATAATTAATATAGTTTTTCTTCTTTTTTTTTTAATTTTGTATTCCTTATATTTTTCTTAAGTTTAAATATTTAACATTTCCTGGAAACCAGAAGATAGTACAGTTTTTCCTCTTTTAGAATAAATATGCATAATTAATAATAGCTTTATTATTTTTTCAATACTTCTTTTTAAAATTTTGTATTCTTTGTATTTTTCTAAGTTTAAATATTTTCATTTTTTCTTGAAAACCCAGAAGATAGTACAGTTCTTTTCTTTAGACTAAATATGCATAATTAATAATAGCTTTAATTATTTTCAATACTTAAAAGTAAAAATTAATAAAGTTTTTAAATTTCTCTTTTGACTAAATATGCATAATTAATAATAGCCTTAATTATTTTCAATACTTTAAAGTAAAAATTAATAAAGTTTTTAAATTTCTCTTTTGACTAAATATGCATAATTAATAATAGCCTTAATTATTTTCAGTACTTTAAACTACATTTTTAAATAACTTAAATTCTAAGTTAGACATTTAGTCCATTTCAGAATGCCATTATTTATAACTTCACAAATAAGTACATGTAATATATCTAAAGGAATTTGTAAATACATATTATAAACATGAGAGCTACTCAATTGATAGAAATTGTTATGTGGTTTAGTAGTAACAACTACCTCGTCGTTTTCGACGTATTTCACAATCAAAGAACTTGTACAGATCTAAAACAAAAAGTTAAGGAAATAAAACTTTTTTAGTATTAACCCCAAATGCTTTATAGAATTACTTTTGAAATACTTGGCTTTAGAACTTTGCGACTAAATAAACGTCAGTCACGTTTAAACTGTTATCTATGCAAACTTCTCAAAACAAGGATTTATTTTTAATGTACATGGTAGAGTTGTTTAAAACTGTTATTTCCATCTATCTTAATGCATAGATATATGTATACATACATATATATATATATATTCTGCATCTTTTAAATATCTCTACTAGCTTTTAATTTTTTCCATATTTTATTGATATGTGATCATGAATACTTTATAATAATCTTTGAATTTGTCTTCCAATTTTGGTTCGGATAATCCGATTGGTTACAGCAGAATAAAATAAGTACCTCTTTGTGTATTTTGCTTTTAGAATTTTGTACATATTTCTTTCTTTAGAAGGTAATTTAGTTTTATGCCAAGAGAAAGGAACATATTAGATGAGAGGATTTAAATTATAAAGCATTATAGAATGAACTAGAAATAAATTCGGAAGCTTTGCCAGATGTTACAGTTTCATATACATATATGTTTGGCTTAAATACCCAACCTAAATTTGCGAATTAAAATGTTAAAGCTTGAAACGTCTAGGATTTTGTTTTAATGATACAAAAATTGGTTAAAAATGAGGATACAATAAGGATTGAAACCCGCTTTCGCAAGTTCGTGCTCAATCTCCTTGAAGAGTAGGTAAGTAAAAATGAAATTTTGGATATTCAGTGAGACTTCTGAAATTCAGTAAATTGGATAACCAATTTACTGAATTTCGGAAGCATGTATTGTCGCGACCTCTAATTTTTCCTTGATGGTGCTTAATTGGCAATGAATTAATTTCGGTTTGCACAAATAGATAGCGTTATGTACGTTTTGTTGTTTTTCTGCCAATCTTATGAATTTTTAGTCCAAAGTGGCTTTGCACCTGGAGGATTATTGTTTCCATTTAGCGATTTTGCGTTGAATCACTATAAATGCCGTTTCACTTTTCAAACTGTTGCCACCAAATGTTAGAGTCCTGCATTATACATATGAAGAAATTAAATAATGATAAATGTATGTATATTTCTCGCATTGTGATAAAACAACGGTACATAGAGCCATCGAATTTTGAATGGCATAATCCTCCTACGAATATGGGCATGTGGAAGACCGAATTTGAAATTTGGAATTTATTTTATTATCGATTTTATATTTTGTAAATCTTTAACGAATTTTTGAGTAACAAGCTCAAGGATTTCAAAACGAGCAATGGTAACACTGTACGGGGGAAAAAAGACCTTTTTATCTTCAGCGCACGGAACTGTGTATCGAAATTCTAAAGATATGCTCATTTTGAAAATATTTTGCGAGATTGCTATTGAGCTGAATTTTATGGTTTAAGTGCAAAGAACATGATATTAAAAAATAAAGGTAACACACAAAACGTTAATAAAACGCCCCTTTGGACGTAATTTAACATCTGAAACCTTTCAGACTTTTTTTATTTATTTATTATTTTTTTTTAGATTTGCCAGCTGATAGTTTCAAGATGCTACAGAAACAAATTCTGTGTATTTTTATTTACAACTGTTAGTTCAGGGACGATTTTAACATGGGGTGTAAAAATAAACATTCTCGACATAATTTACTTTTCTATTGTCAAGAAATCAAGATAGCGTAGATAGCGTCTGAACCTCACAAAGAGATATGTGAAGAGTAATGGTGATTCTGAAATTATTGATGACAAAATTAAAGCTAGAATTGAATCGAGTCGTCATATTACTGTGAGAGATCGTAAAAGGTTTAAATGTATCACACACAGCAACTGATAATCACATAAGATGTCTTAGACTCGTCAAAAAGCTCGAATAGCTGCAAGCTGGGATTTGCATTGATTGAAAGAAATTCACTTAACAAATAAATATTTGCGATACGAATTTCAAACGAAATGTAGTCAACCTTTTTTAAACAAAATCTCACTGCTGATGAAAAAGTAATCGTCTACAATAACATTAATCGGAAACTATCATTATCCAAACATGATGAAACAGCACAAATCGTAACGGAAGCTAATTTACATCAGAAAAAGATCATGCTGCCAATTTGGTGGGATTATATAGATGTTGTGTATTAATAACGCATATGTTTACTTCCAAAAACGTATGAAATTGAAGGGCGTAATCAAAGAGAAAAAGGCCAAGAATTGACAAATCGTAAAGGAATCGTGCTCCACCACGATAGTGCGAGTTCTCACACATCTCCAACAACACGTACAAAATTATTGGAGTTTGGTTGGGAAGTGATGTGTCATATTCTATTTCGCCCCAACCTTGCCTTAACGGATTGTCATTTATTTGGAAGCTAACAAACCATCTTCAATGTAAAAAACTTCAGTAGTAACGATAAGCACAAATCGCACATGGTTACATTTTTTGCTGATAAAAACCAGTAGTTCTACTAGCGCGAAATGATGAAGCTACCAAAAAGATGGCAAAAGGTCATCGAACGGAAGGGAAGATATTCGATTAAAGTATATTTTTTGTTTAGAAACCTGACACATTCGCAAAATACAAAACGATGACTTACTAGAACCATCAAAGACGGAACATATTTACAGCCCAAAGTAGCGTTAGCTCAGAAGGGTATCATTCGAAACGGCGTTTTGCGTCGAATCACTATAAAAGGCTTATCACATTTCATATTGTTGCCATCAAATATTATCGCCATGTATTATATTTAAAGAAATTACATAATGGAGTATCTTCATGAATGTATGCATCAATTTGCATTTTAACGATGAGCATGATATGCAAAATAAATTCTGCTGCAGCTTGATGTCATAGAATATTTTGATACGAATAACCTATAAATATAGCGTGCCTTTTAATTAAATGATCAATGCAAAAGTTGAA